TAAAATGTGGTTGTGTAAAAAGGCAGCACCTTCTGCTCTAGCATTTTAGGCTAATATTAAAAAAATAGAAATTGGAAATCATTTGGTGCTAGTACGCATGGCTTTTGTTAGTGTACAATAAAATAGGCATTCTGAAGTTTGCTTTTAAAGAGGAGACTTTGTGACCTTTAAGATGTTTTTCTTAACTCTCTCCTCTCAAATAGGGATTCTCAAACTTCTTTTATAGTTCTTGTTGGTTCTAGGAACCACCCTAGGTCTGAGAAAAGAGACGGGTTGGGGCAGGGGGCAGAAACCAAGTACTGTTCCTGGAATTATGAGCTTTTTTCCCCCCTTCACTGTTTATCTGTTTTGCACCACTCAGCTGTTCTCTGTTGCAGAGAAATAAAAGTTTAGTTTAAAAAGTATGTTAGAACAAAGCTGCAGAAATTGCCTGGAATTTCCTTCATTTTCAGCCATCTGGCTTTCATTGCTTACTTCTTTCCCCTCCTCCAGGTACGTTTACCAAATCTTTTCAACACACACCGGCCAAGCTATCAAATGCTTATAATTAATAACAGTCATACTCCTTTTTTTTTTTCTTTTAAGGTAGTGGTTTCTGGTTTTCCTGGGGCTGCTCCTGTCATTGATACTATAAACCAGGGAGATGGTCAGTAAAGCGGTACTTGAGTAAGAGAGAAAAATCTGATCATATTTGAGTCCTGAATACAAAACATTGTTTTATTTAAAAGTATTTCTCACCATGAAATGAAAGGGAAGGAGAAGAAAATTAATTTTTCTGAGTGTCCACTATGATCCTCTTTTAGAGAAGAAGAATCTGAGGATCCAAAAAAGTGCATGACCTCTTGAAGTTCACGTAGTTAAATGGGACAGAGCAGAATTTGAACACAGGTATAAATCGACCTGATGGTTTTTATTTTGGTGGTCTCAGGGAGGGGAAAGATCTTTAGTGTATATTAATTAAGTGAAAAATGAGGTTGCCAAGCAAGATAGAAATATGATCCCCATTGTAAAAGGGAAGAAAATCCTATATGTTTGCATATGTTCATATATGTATATAAATTACTATAATAAAAGTCTGGAAAGGCATGTACCAAATGATTGACAGTAGTTATATCCGGGCAGAAGAAGGGAGTGGAGCTGTAGAGTTTGGTGCCTTCCTTTCTCAATTGCTTCTGCTATGCTTGACTTAAAGAATGAGAATATTCACGTATTATTTGTATAGTTACTCTACTATTCACACAGCTTCCTCACTGGGAGCAGGGGGCTGGCCTCTTTCCTAATGACTGTTCTTAGCTCCTCTTTGGATATTTCTCCATAAGTTGGTCTAAGCCACCAGTGAAAGTTGGCGGGGTGGTAGGGCTTCTGGACACAAACTACTCAGATGGTGGTAGAGGTGCCTATGCTGATTTTTCTTCCTTGTAATGATAACTTGTTTGCTCTCCACTTTGATGCAAAATTCTCACTGTTAGCTCACAAGGAAAAATAATCCTAATTTCTTCTGGCCAATTTTAGGCAAGTTTATTAAGGGATTAACACCTGTCCCCATGATATGTAACACCTTCTGTCTTCCTCAATGAGCAAACTCATTTCTGGACAATGCTAACAATTTACTCAAGAATCATGTCCATACCCCCTGTATTACAGCTTGCCTTCCTATTCTTATTTTGAGGATACTTTGCCATATGCGATTGATAACATAAAGGGTGATGAATCCTAAGGATATTTATATTTTAAATTGGTATTTAAAGCCTTCAACTTAAGGAAAGGACTCCAACAATGGCATTTCAGTACCATCTGGTAGGTGGGAGAGAAGGGACAAGGGGGCTGAGAGCAGACAGCATGAGGGTCCTCCCAGCTGTCATTAATAATAGGATCTAAACACTACTACTTATAAATTTGGCCCTAGTCCTTTATACTCATTTGTTCAGTAAACACTTAATAAGACCCTGCTGTGTGTCAGACATTATACTAGGCATTGGTTCCAGAGAGAGGGGGAGATATAAAGCTGATTGCAAGGACTTTGAAATATAGTTCTCTTCAATAGATAACTTCTACTTTGTTAAAATGCCTTAAAAATGCAGGCAGTTCCTGCTTATGCACATATATACACATAAATGGGAATACAGATGGGAACAATAGGACAGTATCTCTAGCTTGAGAATAAGCCCTTCCTGCTGTGAATAGCTAGGTGTGAGAAAATGTCTGTCTAGACTTGGTGAAAGTTGGACATGTGCTCCTGAAAGTTGGACAGCTCTGTCATCCACATAGACTAAGACAGAAGGGACTGTGTAATTCTAAAAAGACTGCCCAGATAGGCCATGCCCTGGCGCCTGTGTATTCACCCTGTGATCTGAGAACTCCAACTCACATAAGAGGAAAATTGGTTCCCTAACTGGTGTTCAGTAGAACTCACCGCTGCCCAGGAAACCTATGTAACCAATGGCCTCCTCTCAGAGACATATAAGCCCAGGGACCAAGACCTGAAACATCATTTCTGGATGTCCCATGGAAAATGCTATGGTTTTTTGAACATATGGACATCAGCACAGAACAAGAACCTAAAAGACAGTGTATAGAAACTTGGAACCCAGAGGAGGACACTCTAAAATGTGCAGGAAACACTGTCTATGCAAGATAAGAATTTCTGTGAATTAAAGATTTTAATTACTCCCACCTAAACAGAAAGTGCATGAGAAAACACTACCACACTGATATGCTCCTACCAAACACACTTTCTCTTTCCAACACCTATTACCCAAGCTTTACAAAGAGAGATATTTCCCCCCTTGACGTCATAGAGAAATACTCAACAGGAGTTCACCTCCATACATTTCTCATTTTTAAGATGAAAATCCGCTGTGGCTCTTTGATGAAGAGAGCTATTCGTACCAACCCACTGTACGTGTGCCCACTATGTCACTTGAATTAGCATTGACCTACAAATGCTCATCTGTGTATGCTTGGCTCAAGAAACCCCTGGCTGCACCCGATAAGAGGGGTCTTACCTGTCAGTCTGACACCTGGCTAGTGGAAAATCAAAGCAGTAAGTGTCTCTGGAGCAAATGAAATAAAGTTAAGCATAACAAGAGTCCTTGTCCAGGGTCAATATAAACATCATAGAGTAAATTAAACTCATCTAATTTCACTATTGTCAAACTCTGAGGCTGAAAAGTAGCATCCTGGGTCCTGTTCCTCTTGCTGCCCCAGGAAGGGATGGTTTTAGTGGCTACAAATCCCAGATTTTTAGCTAGTCCCACGTACTGACTCCTCAACATGTCCTCAGCTCATCACAGCATTTGGATGTCATTACAACACTAGAATGTGGTTAGAAAGACACTTATACTTTTTTTTAAAGTAAGAGTAAATAAGCAGACAGAAATGACATCTATTATCAGCATGATAAAGCAGCAGTTGTAGCCCTCATTCTTCTGTCTGTAGATGAGTCAGAAGAATGAAGAGTCAGGGGATATTTGAGCAGGATGTGGTGACCTCACATCATTTTGCAGATGTGGAAATAGAAAGGGCAGGCACCTTGCCCATTACCACACAGTGAGTGGTGACCGAGCTGGGACAGGAACCTCTGGACCTCTCAGCCAAGGCCCTAGCAGCCTGTCCATGCTGCAACCCCTCTGCTTCTTCCTATATGGGGACCACACTATAAAAAAATTAAGGTTGATACCCCTTGCCCATGCAGTCAGGTCTTAGGTTCCCCCTACTAGAGAACAGTACGGTAAGGACTGAGGTGTAAATCAGGTCAGACAGAAACAGAAAAGAGGTTTTTCAGTCTTCTGTGCGCTGGATCTAGCTTTTCTGGATCCAGCTCTTGACTCCGTTTTACTGGCTGCCATTCTCATGGGTGGAGTGCTGCTCCAAGCAGTGGCTGACTAATTTTCTGGTTTCTTTGGAGAATATGGCACTGGTAGCCCTCGTCACTCCTGACTTTGAATGGGGAAGCCAGGACCACCATTCAGATTCAACATATGGAACAACTCGAGTGACTAGCAGAAGTGTCACTGTGAGATTATGCCCTGCTCTGATCAGAGCAGGCCTGTAATCTCTCCCTCTAAGTCCCAAAGAAAGGTATCTAGTTGGCTGAAAAATATGTAAGACAAGAAGCATCAGCTTGATTGGCAAATTATCATTAATTCCTGAAGGCAACACCCGGTTTCTTACAGGATACTTTGTAGAAACAGAAGAGATATCATTCAGAAACAGCATTCATTCCCCTTCATGTATAGGATATGACCTTATCTGGTAACATTCTTCAGTCCATTAGTCAGCTTGAAAGTCTGGCTTTGGTTCTTTAAGCATCTCCCTTTGAAACCAGAATCATAGATGAGATGGTTTAGCTTCTAAAGAGATTTGCTCCAAAGAAGAATCTGAAGGCAAGTCTCTCAAGACAAAAATTGTGTGAACTGAGAGCGTGATTGGATTGGTTAATAAGACTCAAGGTCGGGTAATAATGAGACCCAGGCAGGGCTGAACAATAAAATGCTCTAACTGATTTTATGCATGTGGAATGACACACACGTGCCCCTCACCCCCCGCCCAGAGAATGCTATAATGAATCTGCATGCTGGGTGCATACAGGTTTACAGTGGATCAATTATACCACCCAGATGCCCCACAAGCCAATCTGTTACTATGCTGCGAGGGCTTGGGGCACAATCTAAACTGTGGCAGAGACCATGAAGCCTGTGGTCAGTTCATACTCCCTCCAGGAGAAAGCAGCAGCATGGCACGTGCACACACTGGCCATGCTATGGGACTCGCTTCAGTGCACGGAGCCTTCTGGACCCTGAGCATGACCATTGTGCTGAATTCCAAAGCCCTGGTTTCAATTAAATTTAAGTGGATTTGACTCAAAGTTTGAACTGATGCTAATTGGTTTTCAAAACACTGTGTAACAATAGGCGTTCTAGTCTTGCCCATGGACAGATGCACCCAGCTCCGAACATGAACATGCTCCTGGGGAGCAGGGCAGGCAACGTGCCTGTTACCTTGATGGGCAGGGATCCAAACTGCAGGCTTTCAGAAGCTTCGGGGGCCGGCGGCTGGTCACGCACAGGTTCTCATCAGCAGGCTCCCGCGTCTGTTTGTTCAGGCAGCTCACCACAGCCTCCTGGACACCTGCATACAAATCACACTGTCAGGCCGGAGTGGGCGTGTGAGGGGTGATGAAGTGTAGACAAGGCAGCTAGTGGGAGGTCTCTGTGATTGGTAGGACTCTTGCTGCATATCAGAGACAGCAGTTTAAAGCCCAGGACTGCCCATCTTGTCAAACATCACTCAACCTGGGATAAAGCGTGCCCCTTGAAGAGCACAACTTCCCTCAAGAGGACAGGTTGCTACCACTACTGCTGAAATGCTTTAAAAAAGGCCACCAAGTCTATAGCTGCCAATGCTGAAATGTGATAATTTAATGCAGAAGGAGGGCAGGGTGACAAAAAAATGGCTCAAGGATCTTCACATGTTACATTTTAATCAACAGGAGATTGTTGTATTTGGAAGGGAGTCCAAGAGCCATGTTTGAATATCCAATAATCAGTAAACTGCTGTTCTTCTGGGGCCTTGTATCCAGGACTTCAATTTGTGTTGGTTTCCTTTTGATTTGGGTTTATACCTTTAGTGACCTAGGGCAGTTGTTTTAGAAAAAAGAGAACAAGATGCATAATGATGACATCCATGGAAGACAATCCTCCTGTACATCCCTGCAAACAGTGTTCCCACTGACATCTGCATGCATCTCACTCAGAACAAGGAAAACAGGAGTTTGAGCAGGGATGGGCACGGGTTACTTGGCAGGCCTTCTAGGATGGGGGGCAGGATCTATCATGGAGACTTTGATGGAGCAAGGAAGCATTGAACTGGGGAAGGAAATGACCAGACTTTTCATTCTGATTCCCATGGTCATAGCAGTCAAAATCCACAGGTTGCAGACTATTGCCAGGTATAAGGCTAAGAGCTTGGCATACATCATTCAATCTTCTCAACAACTCCATGAGAAAAGTACTATTTTTATCCTCAGTTTACAGCTAAGAAAGCGAAGGTTTAGAAGGCTACAAAGACCTGCTAAGGTCATGTAGTTAACAAACAGTGAAGTGGTGCCTTAACACTGGAGTGCCAATGGCTGACAGCACTAACATTTAAAAATACGAAGAGGCTCTTCTCTCTGCTGGAGAGCTTCAGGAATAGCCTAGACATCTGTCAGGAATCATTTCAGCGGAGTTCAGTTTAGGGAACAGCCGAGACAAAACATTCTTGATAGTATGTTTTCAGTCATACATAGCTAGGTATATAAAGATCTGTACCTCTAAAGATACCAATCTGTAGTTAAATACTCGTATAGTTTCAGCAGAGTATGTGACGATCCATAAAATTAGTTAATATGTAAATACACATATTTTCTTATTTTATTCTCTGCATTGCTTTGCAATTAGTACCCGATATAGTACAACTGCCCCATCACTTGTTAGCCCTGTTGCTTCCCTCCTACCTACCCTATGTTTCTCCAAGAAGTTATCACCCTAATCAACAGGCTAACACTTCCCCAGGTGATGTTATACTGGCTTAGGTCACTGAGCAAGACAATCAGGCAAAAAGTGACATTTGAAAGCCAGAATCTATATCACCTCTCTTTCCTAGTAGGTCTCATAAATCAAACATTTAAAAAAATATCAGTCACAATATTTACCCTGTGGCATTGAATGTAAATTTTCTTTTTTCTAAGCTTTTAATGAACTTCAAAATTTAATTCAAATATATCATGGGCAGTTCAGAGTGGAGAATTTGGGATTTATATGAGACATTCAAGCTACTCCATCATATTTTGTAATGCTGACTACAGGGTGTTTCTCTTGGTTCCCGCTGGGATGAGCCCTTTGAAATTTATGGTATGATGAGATAGCAAAACATTTCACAAGAAAAGGTTGATATCATCACTGATCCTTCCCGCTGGAATAGTCTGGCATTATTAAGGTAATGACAGCAATACACTCGATGAGGCTAACTATTCCATGCAGAATCTAGAGCTGTGGTTATATTAAGAAATACATTAAGAAATGAAGTTTTCAATTCATTTACCTACCTGTTAATATTCAAGAGATACTAAATGTTGCTCTAAAATAAAATATGTTTTGGCTTTGGTTTTTCCAGCTTCAAACACGTTATCATTTGCCTTACTTGAAAGTATTTCAGGTGTGTGTCGGCAGGGTGCGGGGGAGGGTGTGCATGCAGAATGTCACCTATTTTCACTCTGCGAACTCCTTGTTAATAGAACTGAGGTCCTTCTAAGACTTCAAGGAACGGGTGTAGCAAGGGCTAAGGTTTCTACCAAAACATCAATCATCTTCTTTCTTGGATACATAGAACACAAATTTACATTAAACTAAACCATTGATTATAGCTCAAGATAAAAATCACCTTTTGTGTGGTTAAGTGCTGAGATTAGACAGCACTTTAGAGCTACTCAATTTTAATTTAGTGTATTATAAAATGATACACTAGGCCTCCCTAACATTATGAGTTAAATGTCTATTGCCAGAGGGTCCAGTTGCCTCAGTATTTTTTAGGTGGGGCTTGGCATGGTGGGGAAAACAAAGGACAGAGCTCTGTCATAACAAAGGAGTTTCTGGGACCAGCCCTGCAGTCAACACAATAAATTTTTGTGGCCTGACCAAATGTAATGCCTAAAGGGCAGGGCATTCTAAGCATAGTGTGCAATTCAGGCTAAGGGGAGGTGGGAATGGGATGCCTGGAGGAAGGAACACGGAGGAGGGAGCTGCCTTGGAACGGGGAGTGTGGGAAGTTGGAGGAGGGAGGAAGTGTGAGGACTTCACCTGCAAGTTCACAGCACACTTGACCCAGGGGAGTCAGGCCAGGAAGTGAGAAGTTAGCTCATCCAGTTTGTGCTCTTTCCAAACAGGCTAATGTATGCACTTAGAAGGACATTCTAAACCAACACAGAACATATGTTTAAGTACAGGACTTTATGATTTTGAGTTTTCCTTTCTTGACAGAAGCAAAAGGAGAGAGGACTCATAAGGAAAAGGGAACAACAAGTACAAGACTCCTCCATTCTTGCTGAAGTAAATTTCCAGTTTCCCCTCATTTAGAGTTTAATATTGATTTTACCATCTAGGAGTTCAATGTCATACAGCTGTTCTGGTTCAAATCTACTCTCCTTGACCACACCTATTAGTGCACAGAAAGGAAATTAGAATATAACAAAGAGGTGATGGTGGGACACAGGACACGGATACTCACTTAGACTCACTTTTAGTCTTCCCCAAAATGGGATTTTCATTGTTTATATCTCTCAGAATGGCATCGTTGTTGTATGATATTTAATGATAGTTTGAGGAGCCATAGTCAGCAGCTACAGCCTAATTTACTACCTAGTTCCTTCTGGTTGCTACCTCTGCTAGGTGAAAGGTAACTTTTGTGACTATCCAATTTCATCTCTTGAGATTACAAAAACAATAAAATCAGCCTGACCAGCCTTAGAAACCAAAACTGACTTAAAAATCTATCTGTTAATCTTGCACGTTTTGGTAGCCTTCAGCAAGAATGATTAAAAATATATATAACATCGTGGGTTGTATTTTGGTGAAAGATCAAAGTTGATAATACAATAAAATATTCCTGCCAAAAACTGACTTCAAAATATACATGTCCCATGTAACAAAGTAATTTTTTAGTGCATATGGGCATCATATGGACCCATATATCCCAAGAATATTTTCACCACTTTGGAATTTTCAACTCTAACATTTTAGGTGTAAATATATGACCTTGGCACAGGGACATTAACTGTAGGTAAGTATGCACAGTTGTTGACAGTTAAGACCTAAAACATTTCAGCAACTTTATCCTGCTTTGGATATAAAGAATGTGCAATTTATGCTGTATAAAAATATTCAGTTCCTACAGGCAGAGATCAATTGTATATCAAACATCCAGATCTTATTTCTAAATCAATATCTACTGAAAACATTTTAAATGAAACACATTCTATATATTTACACTTTGAATTTCATACCCCTGGTTGATCAGCAGAATAGTTAGACCCTTAAAGATAAAGATATCTGCTTATTTATATATTCCATTACTGCATCTATTTTTTCCATCTGTTCCTAACGTTCCAGGCTTGACTTGTAACTGTGAACCATAACCAAGAGACCATAAGTAATTTTTTTCAAAGCACATTTGTTTTACACTAGAGATAATGATCATTCAATTCAGGTGATCATGGAAACTGGAAATAAACACCCACCATCTGAACTCTTGAATCATTCGTTTTATTGGAAAGGAGCAACTGTAGCCACCAGCTGTGGCCTTTCCACGTGACCTCAGAGCTCCTGCCTGGGCTCAGGGACCACCAAACCTTATTTAACACTTTTCTCTCATCAGCATGTACTAAAAGATATAAAGAATGTCCTCAGTGTGAGCGCAGAACACCGTAAGAACATAGATTAGTTGAGTTCCAAGAAACTCTTCCACAATCAGATGTAAAAATTTAGGTTTTAAAAGAACAGGGCTCTCTCCATTAGACCACTTGAGAATTTCACGGTTTGAAACAGGAAGACTTGGAAACAAACAAGAATCTCAAGGTAAAAACTCTTAAATGCTTACTACAAGACCTGATGGAGAAAACTGATTCTTTGCTAGTACCTGTTCCACTACGCATTCCTTTTCAACTCTATGGGAACAATTTGGGCACATTTATCCTTATGTTCTCAATAACGACACAAGATGCCTTTCTAAAACTTTCCTAAAACAGTTTGGGGAAATAATTTTAATATGTATATATTTTTATGTCACTTAAGTAAGAAACTTTGCTGGGAATGCAGAACCTTAAAGGGGTGGCTAACGGGGTACTGATAGCCAGTGAAGGGTATCTGGCAGGAAATCAGCCGGTGTTTCCACACCTATCAAAAATCTCACTTGGGAGGGGGCAGGCATGGGAGGCAGTGGCAGTACAAATCTAATGTATTTTCTACAGTGGTGAGGAAGATTGTACTCTTAAAGTCTTAACTGTTGATTTAAATATCTTCTTCTTCCACTATAACCTCATTCAGATTTCACCTGATATAAAAAATCACTGGGTCTGTTTTATGACCATGGAATATGCCTATAAGAACCAGATCAATATACATGGAACATTTAATATTAGTTAAACAATTAATATTCATAATGAGAAAGCTTCAGGAATTCTCTAGGCCTCTAAACAGAGAAATAAATGGCAAGCCTAGTCTCAGCTGTCACACACACACACAAGTTGTGTGATCTTGAACAAGCCACTCAGCTTCTTTGTATCTTAGTTTTCTCATCTGTAAAATGCTGGTGGGGGGAGACTTGAATCTTTAAACTCCTTTCCAGGTCAAGGTAACCACAGTGTTAATTGCCCTTTATACCATCTTCCCTTTGTAAATAGATACTACTTTGGGAAATCAGCTGAGAAATCACAGGGACTATAACTTATTCTTGGGAATAGCAGAAGGTTTTGCCACCTTGGGTTCTGGTTCGTCCCACATGCACTGAGGCAAGGGCATGGGTAAATAACACTGAACGTCAGGGGCATGACCGGGTCAGTGTCAACTGTGTTTCTTGGTCAGATCTACCAGGATACCTTGCAAGACACCGGAATCACAACTGAAAGCAAAAGAATCAGTTGTGTCGGCTACTCACAGCTGACAGTCTGAGAGCTACTCAAGTCCAGGGAGAAACACATCTGTGTTTCATTCAGTATATTTTACATTTAGAAAGGCTTCCTCCTCTCCTCCCCCTGCTTATCATTCTTGGACAAGGGGCAGTCACATGACAGTTGCACACAGGGAGAGAGGATACAGAAAAAGGACAAGAAAATGGCAGGGATTTGAGCCAGATTCCCTCTTCTTACCTCCTCCACATGACTCAGAGCACTTGGTGAAGCCCTCATACTCCCAGTCATATAGCTCGTCAAAATCCTGCAGGCCACCGAGGAGGCCATCTGTCTGTCCTGGGTTAAACTCAGGAACTTCCCCGTTGCACGGTCCTGCATAGCAGGCTCGCTGGGACGCCGGCTTGGGTCCTTCACATTCGTCGGCAGGCAGGTCAGCCACAGACTGAGAGAAAGACAGGAGCACCTGGCACTTGACTATTCGCACCTGGGTCCCCACGCCACAGGTAACGGTGCAGGCCGACCAGGCCTCGGCGATGAACCTGCAGTCCACAAGCAAACAAGAGGACAGGATGAGAAGCCCCAGGTAGGTGAGCCTGGGCATTGTGAGGGGCCGCATCCCACCTGCAGGCACGGCCCAGTGCTGTCCTAGGATGTGCTCAGGGCTCCGCCACCCCGTCCTGGAACGGGTGCTTCAGTTTAGTTCATAAGCTCATTTGCCACTGTTTCTGGATTGGTTTCTTCCCGAGTGTCATAGGAACTCCCAGCTGTAAGACATTCCAGCCACAGACCACCTGCTTTCCCCCTGCTTTGCACCCACAGTGGTAACTCTTCACAGCAGAGAATTGGTGGTTTCTTCTCCCTCTCTCTAAATCCCAGCACTTGTGCCTGCTGCAAAATGCTGGCTATTCTTATAGCAGACTAATACTGATACTAAAAACTATAACAAAATAAACCCTTGGAGATATTTAAGGAAGCATTTTTTTTTTTTTAGTCTGGATCTCATATTCTGTAACTTCTGTTGCTTTTCTGCACAATGTGCTGCTTCCGAAGATTTATTTATATGTAGAAAGAGTTTTGTTTTTGGTTGTTGCTTTTTTTAAAAAAAATTATTTATTTATTTTTGTAAGTTTCCACGAATGGAGCAAAGTCTTGTTCCTCACACATTCTTTGAATTAGTCTGGACTGCAGTTCTTTTTATATCATAGAGAAAAATCTGTGCTACAAATTTAAGTCCACAGGCATGTGCCAGTAAATGAAAAGCTCTGCATTCACACAACTTTGTTTAGCACCCTCCACTCCTCAGGCCCTGAGAGAAAAGCCATAATAGTAAGAATTTGGTTTTTCTCTAAGTTTCTCTAGAATGTAGACTAATATCCAAACTTTTTTTAAAAAAGCCTTTTTTTCCCCCCTCTCGCTAATCAACCGTGGCCATAACTGCACTGACCTTGAGGAGGCCTATGGCAAAAAGCCCGAGGGAACCACTAACATTTTCAAAAAGTTAGTAAAATAAACTGGGGAAGGACTAAAAATTTTTTATTTTTCCATGATCCTACTGCTTTCTCACAGGGAGTCGTGCTGAGGAGGCATGCAAACTGGGCTGCTCAACCTTAACTTTGGCAGAAAACGAAAGAACTGATAAGAAGGTTAGAGCATTAAATCCTAGCAAGTGCAAATGGTTCATAGCTAGTTTAGGGAAATTGAAATTCTAGCAGGGAACCAATCTAAGTTTTCAAACTGGAAGGAACACAACCAAGATGTTGCCCGGGTGTGAGCCTGGGCTGCGTATGGGGCAGGAGGATCTGGCGTGGGGTCTGAGGCATGGAAGGAGTCCCTTTAGGGAGGCTCTGACATTTGTGACCCTTGAGGAGCCATCCCCAGGAGAGAGTGAAAGTCACGTACAACCTTGTCAGGAAGGTGGATGAGGGACGAAGAGCCAGCCAGGACTATTCCCAAGAAATTTTTATCACATTGTTACCTCCCTCTCTTGTTTTGAATTCTTGACTTCATCTTCTGGTACCTACAGAACTTGGAGTAAAACAGTATTCTAAAAGATTTAAAAAGTCTCTGTCTCCTTTAAAAAATGCTACCTATAAAAATTTTTTAAAAAGATACGAAAATCTACAGTCTAAATAATCTTAACTCTCTTCTTATTACATGCATATAGTATGCCTAGCTCTTGGCACAAGAATCATGACAAGCACATAAACACTGAATTTTACAATCCAGGTAGAGACATACAGGAAAATGCAAAACTAATGCAAAATACTAAACTATTTTGTATATAAGAAAAACCCAAAAGCAAATAATAAGTGTGCCAAGTTGACCATAATGTGATGAATAATGCTTCTTTAATAATACAGTGCTGAACTTTGTTTTCAAATATAAAAAGATGACAAGCTCACAAAAAGAACTTTACCCTATTAGCTTGTCCTGTGTGGTAAGGATTATTGTTCTCTCACCTATCAAAGCCCTCTTCAGTGACCATTACCAAAGGACAAGGGTCAGCTAACTTTTTCTGTAAAGGGCCAGACAGAAAATATTTTAGAATTTGTGGGCCACATTTGTAGGTCTTTGTTGTTGCAACTACTCAACTTTGTCAACATAATGAGAAAGCAGCCACAGACAATATGTAAACAGATTGGTTCAGCTGGGTTCTAATAAAACTTTATTTATAAAAACTAGAGTTGGGGGTGGAAAGGGTGGTGAAAGGGCCTGAATTTGGCCTGTGGGCTGTAGTTTACCAACTCCTGCTGTAGAACATTTAGTGGAGATGCCTAACACACTGAGATTCATAAATAATCTCCAAACTTATGTCTTACTTTCCACCTTTGCCCACATATAGAAGTTTATAAGAATGACAAGTAGCTAAACTGATCTATGTTTTATCTTCCAGCTTGAGTCCCAGATAAATTCTAGAACATAAATGAACAAACTAAACACTCAGCTCTTCTTGCCTATAACGTGAATCACTTTGCATATGATCTCTTTCCAGGACCAAGAAGATAACCAACAGCCCACAAAGTAGAAAGGGCGTGCTACTGAAGCCCCATGAACTTGATATAATGGTTGAAGTGTTTATTTTAAAGCATCTAAATGAAAAATGAGAATGAGTATTCATATGTGTGTGTGTGTGTGACTATCTGAACATTCAGGGTTAATAGCAAAAACAATAAACATCTACTTTATGTCTCCCAAGTGAGAGTCTTATCAAATGTCAAATAGCCTTGCTGGCTTATCTCCCAACCCTCTCTTCTAAGGTCTTCATCAAGTTCACACCAATTAAAAACAATTTGGCTTTTAAGTGGTGCTGTCTACTAGCAGTCATCTTAATTTCTCTAGTGCACACACTGTATGATATGATATATTCTCTCATTGAAGGCAGAATATTCTATTTCAAAAGAAAAATACATAATAGTGCAAGTGGCCAAGTGAATAATAACTTTTTCATATGAAACTTTCCTCCACACCCCGAAATCTCCCAACTCTGTATTTACTATCTTGAGCTTTCTGGCCACAAGTGGGAGGAAACAAGGTCAGTGAGAGGGCAGGCAAGTGAGCTAGGAGTTTTGAATGTAATGTTTAGATGACTCAATTTGAAATGTACTTGCTGAGTTAGAACCTTGAAAGTGGGGTCTTTTAAATAAAGTCAATAGGTATTTAAAAACTCAATTTGATATACAAATGTACAATGAAAAAGTTCTTATTAAATTTTACTTTGGGTAACTTAAAAATTCTTTTTGTTAGGTGCACTAATGTGGAATCAAGAAAAAATGGCTAGATAAATGGGTTCTTTAAAAGATAGGCTTAAACTTCAGAAAGGACTGATATAATTTCTACATTTAACCTTTTTATCTCCAGGGAATATTTTGCAAATCCTAGCAAATAAATGATTTATGCTTCTGTCTAATCTTTGATTTCTAAGCTTAACTGTTCATTTTATTAACAAAATGCTTACTCTTTAATTAGTTATTACCATTGTCCTTTTCATGCAATAGAAAACAGTGATAATGAAATTCACTTGTAAAATCCCAAAGTGGTTTAGTTTCTTAGTGGCTATTGTGGAGTCAGAAACATGGGCTAAAATAATAAAAATAATCATTTTTTAAAATACAGAGTCTGGCACAAATAATGCCCCCTTTTTTATCACAAAATCATAAGCATGTAAATCTGAATATAACAATATCAGACTCAAGTGCACCATATGACATTTTAGGTGAAATGTTCAATTAAAACTATAAATTATTGCGTCCATGTTATTACTCTACCAACCACTCTCAAGCAGGTCTCACTTCTGCCTGACCTTGTGTAATGTCAACAGAACTGATTCACTCTTGGTTAATTAGTCTCATGTCACTGCAAATCTGAGCCAGAGTTAGGCTCTGATTTTAAGGCACCATTAAATGGTCTGTAACTAAGATATTTAATTTTTCCTTTTCTCCTCTTACTTTCCCCTCCTTCTTCACATACATTGTTTTAAAAAATCACTGGAATTATTCAAAATAATAGTAGCTTTATAGGTGTGTTATTTTGATGCTGTTACTAGCCATGCCTCATGCTCTGGTTTCAAAGTGCAGACTGAAACTTGCAGGAAGTCACATTAGGAATACCTAATTTTGGTTTAGTTTTCAATCTTATTACATTTGAGTTACATGTCAACAGGGACTGTGGGTTTTGTTTCTCTTTCCTTTGGCATATATTTGTATATGACAGTGGTGTTATTATATTAGAATGAAGAGAAAGGAGGAAATAAACTGAATAATGTGGTTATGAAACAATGAACAAATACTGTAAAGCTGCAAGCCACGAAATCAGTATGTGGAAATCTGTTGTGTTCTTATATACTAACAATGAAATATAAGAAAGGGAAATGAAGAAAACAATCCCATTTATAATTACATGAAAAATGCGTTGGAATCAACTTCACAATTGAAGTGAAGGACCTGTATACTGACAACTACAAGACACTGTTAAAAGAAATTGAGAACACAAAGAAATGGAAAGATATTCTGTTATGGATTGGAAGAATAAACATTGTTTAAATGTCCATATTACCTAAAGCAATCTACAGATTCAATGCAATCCCTGTCAAAATCCTAGTGGCCTTTGTCACAGAAATATTGCAGAATAAAAGATCCTCAAATTTGTATGGGACCACAATAGACCCCCAAAAACCAAAACAATCCTGAGAAAAGAAGGCAAAGCTGAAGGCATCACATGCCTTGACTTCAAGCTATACTACAAGGCTACAATAATCAAAGCAGTATGGTATTGGCAGTAAAACAGACATACAGATGAATGGAACAGATCTGAAAGCCCGGAAATAAACCTACATATATTATATATGGACAACTAATTTTCAACAAAGAAGCAAAAAACACATAAAATGGAGGAAGGAAAGTCTCATCAATAAGTGTTACTGGGAACACCGGAAAGCCACATATAAAAGAACAAAACTAGACACCGTACATACACATGCTCACACACAAATAATCTGACACCATACATAAAAATTAACTCTAAATGGATTAAAGATTTGAAT